ATAGCCAATCTGCTATACATCTTAGTAGAAATCTAGTTTTTCATGATAGAATAAGACATATAGATGTTAAATTTCATTTTATAAGAGATATTATAGAAAAGGAAATTATAAAAATTGAAAAGATCTCTACTAAGTGTAATCCAGCAGATATTGGAACTAAAATACTTCATTTACAAAAATTTAGGGATTGTTTAGATCTCCTAAATGTTATTTCTAACTAATATGTTTTGCAGGTACCCGAGCAAATGAAATCGAAGTGTTAACCTCTAATCCACATGGAACCCGATGATGTCAAGTAAGGTGGAGATTGTTAAAAATGTGCTTAACATCTAAGTGTTGCAGCCTAAATATGTCCAGCCCAATTGCCTTTGATGAATGTGACCCAGGTAACCCACTTGTGCACATTCTCGCACTTTACTAAAACACGACTTTGATTGTTGAAACAAGATGACTGTGATTGTAACACGTGGTATTGGCACAACCGTTGGATGCATGATGACTCTTTATATTCCAGACTCTTCCATTTGCCTTGCAATCTTTCATGCTTCTAAGGTTTTCTCTCTCGAGATATTTATGGTTTTTCTCTCTTATGAAAACTCTTGGTTTTCATACTGTAATCGTGAGGTTAGATAATCTTGGTGATGTCTAGTATATATTACAGTTCTGGTTTATGATTCTTGGTGAGCAGAAGTCCGGTTACTTGGTGTAATCTGTAAAAGTGAGAAAATGAGAGTTTAAGGCTGATGGTTTGAGTATAGTGATTCTTGGGTCTCTAATCATTGTATTTGATAAACTTTGTGTTTTTCTAATGGATTAGAGCGATTATCACTTCGGTGTACGTTCGACGGGTGAGTAGCCAAAATACTTGGTGAAGATCCGGGCCTACGAGCAAAAAATCTCTAGTGTTCATTTTGTTCTTGTTTGATTTGGTTATTATTGGGACTGTTTAAATACCAACAATTTTTCATTACATCGATAACTTTTTGTTACTTTTTAACTACATATTTTTCATCATATCATTATTTAAAATACATTCATTTCTCAATAATATCCATCAAATACCCCCCTAAGTCTTGTAAATCAGTCAATAAATGAATATTTTTATCTTCATTAAATTCGCTTATAAGTAGCTCGAAATAGTGTAGTGAAGTAGAGTAGTGAGACAATTTTATAATTATTTGGCCGACTATCGAAATAAAAGTTTGCTTATTTATGATGATGAAAATATCATCAACAGTAAATAAGATTAGATCATTATTGTTGTCCTCCGAATATTGCAAATCCAACTCATTTTCGCAATAAAACTAGTGACATAATACCTCAAAAATGAATCTAGGTTTTGTGGGTTAGTAAACAAACATGATAACAACAATAGGAAACATCAATAAACATTAACAAGTGATTCCAACTGTTGAGATTATGACTTCCATAGTTGTAAGTGCATTGAATAATTGCATGATTCTGTGAAGTTCTCTTTTAGATTATACATCATCTTATTCTTTATTATATATTTGTCAAATATTTTTAGAAGGAAAAGTATTCGGGTCTCTCTCGCTTGTATTTAAATGATTTATCAATAATACGGGATTGGATAATCAAAATCTCCCTAGCAGGATCCAAGTGGAGGCCTAATGTTTGTTGATTTAACAGTGTACGAATTGCGACAAATAATATACGATGAGTGAAGTATCATCCCTCATATACCATTCTACTAAGTATTGACTTGTCTGTGTTTCTAATTCTAATTAATCTAACTATTTTATGAATGCAATTGTAGTGTCACTACAACTTTTATTTATTACACCACACTCTTAAATTATTTTTCTATTTACTAAAATGGTCACAAGTGAATTAACTTAAATAACGACTTCATTAATGTCTGCTCATATACAAATATATTCTTTTTCCGTATATCATTATTAAGTGCATCACAAACAATATATACACACACACACACACACACACACAGAGATAGAGAGAGAGATAGAGAGAGTCCTTAAATTGTTTAGAATCTAAAATTTCAAGAAAAACATTGATTTCTTAGTGAAATATTAAAAATTAATTGATTCAAGAGCTTTAATTCTAAGAAAAAACTCATTTTTCGATAGAAAAACTCGTAAGCATTGAAAACAACTTATAATTCCAAATTAAAAATAAAAAAACTTTCTTCCCCTATTTTCTTGTCATTATTCTCTATATTTTTACAGCAAGAATCTCTTATCCTCAAAAAATTGATATGCAAGCCCTCCCTCAATATATAGTCAGTCATATTCGAAAGTTAATACATACAAACAAAGAGATTACATAAAAATTGTAATTTATTCTCATATTTTTCTTCAATTTTTTTTGGCTTTTAACCTTTTAAAATAAAATAGCCTAGACTTTAATGGCTTTTTCCGCCAAAAAATCTTTATTATAGAATCCGTATTAAAAATAATTTGTTAACATATATAGTGGAAGAGGATTCTTATGTTGATTCGTGCTAGCTAAAGTGTCTCCTAGCAAGTGACAATGACAAATTAAAACCCCTTTAAGAGTGCTAAATTAACTACAAAAAAAAAAAAAGGTGCGACAAATATCGAATAAAGAAATTTATGTGGAGAATCGATGTTGCATATTAATGATGTCCAGCTCTAGTGACTTCCATGCAGATTAACCACATCTTAAGTGGTTTACATTGTGCTATGGGCATTATCAAGTGTTGGAAAAACAATTGTCCCAATTAATGTATATAATAGATTATAACCCACTTGTAACTTATATTCGGTAGGTAACATTAAGCAAGATTCAACTTTTTTTTTATTGTTTAATATTGTCGAGTCCATTTTACTAAACATACTCTAGATGTGTATCGAGAATATGACAACTGGAGTACTCAACTATGACCTACGCATGGTTAGAAGGGCTATCAACATCCATAAACGTTAGAAAACCCTCGATTGTCCTATAGTTCAAACATGCCATTATATATCCATTTGCCAAACGAGACTTGGATTAAACTTGTGTTTCCCACTTGACCCATAGAGGCCAAATTCGATTTCTATTCGTTTGTTATCCTTTCAACTGGATATAGTGGGGGATCTTATAGAATGGGGTAATGATTAAAATCATAGAAACTGCTAGGTTTAATGGATATGATCATGACTTCACAAGAGATTTTTTGTGCACAATGTGAAAAATATTAATGAATTGGTGAAATTATAAGGTTGATTGTCATATTTAATTTAAAATTTTTTTATTCGAACATAAAGAAAGTACTAACTTTACAACAATAATAATTATTACAATAATAAATGAGTGGTCAAAAGTAGGGCGATGTGTCAAATTTGAAACGGATGATCTTAATGACTAATGTTTCTATGTAGTGGTTACGAAAATCTAACATGAAATTTAGTCAAATTTTTTGAGAACAATTTTCACATTGGTAAAGCAGAGATGGAACATTGTCTATATGTATAAATATAAATAAATTAAAGCGATATTACTTTACGTTTGTTTAAAGCGATATTCAGATCTCCATTGTTAGTATTCATGAAAAATTTAATCTCATATGCACATTAATGTTGTACTAAATAAAAAGTAATTAAATAAATTCTCACCTAATTAACAACTCGTTATTCATTGAACGTTCATTAATTAAATTACATGAAGGTTAATTGTACAGATTTAATGTACATAAAGTTGTCTGGTAATGAATTAAACAAATTCATAATCGACAGATAAAGTTGAACACTTCATTTTAATTTGGATCAAGATGCATCCAGTTTCAAGCATAAAATGCACTATCCACTCACCATTAAAATGTTTCAGTATCGCGTCTCGTGCACAATATTAATGTAGAATATTGTCGACACTTAATTTGCTCAAAATATATAGCTCATGACACTAATTCAATCCACCTTATGTCATGCAGAATCAAACTCGGAAATCCCCTCGAGCCCACTTTGTTTCAAGCATCCTTCTACTTTATTTTGGATGATCAACATGTGTTCACATGTGTATGTTGTTTTGAGTAAGAGAATTTATGCAAAGTACGAGAGAACAAATTAATGATATAACTGAGCTGAAAGCTCTTTGCAATCCGAGAAGACATGAACCTAAGAATTTGGAATAAATTGGCAAGTCAATTACTCACATGAGATGGTGACAAGACAAAGGCACAAGAGGCAGGAGTAAGAAATTGTACTATTCCTCACAAACGATACGATAAACTCCTAGCGTTCACTTCAAATTTCGAGATATTAGATCACAAAAATAATGAACCACACTAATAAAAAGAACGTATATGAATGAAAATCATATTGGAGTTGAGGTGCATTCTCATCGTAGTGTATATTTATTGTAAATCTATCCAACTCCATTGACTAAATTCACTCAAAGTTAACTCAAATTACTACTCCAATAGTTACATGTGAATGATCACTTCGTTTTGTCATATGATGCCAATATTCATGTCATTTTTCTTCTTCTTTAAAGGTTATAGCATAATATTGTCGACTGGAAAATGGCTCTTCAATTAGTATTATCAAGTGCTGAAAATGCCCAAAGATGATTTTGGTGTGCTAAAAACAGTGGTATCAAAGCACCTAATTGATATATTTGACTTATTAATAATTGAATAGAATTCGATGAAAGAGATAGTGCACAAAATATGCCACTTATCTTGTTTAAATCTCGTCCATTTTAAAGCATGAAACATGACATAAACATATATCGATCACAACAAGCTTACTAAGTGGGTTATGAATCAGATGTCAGCAAATTGACTACAATATTTATGAAGCAATTAACATGATTATTCAAAGTGGGCATCCTTAAAATATCCAATCAAAGAGTTCTTTTCATTAGCTTTCCTTCAGAAATTTAGGTTACAAGAAAGTTTACATAATGTAACTCGTGGTGACATAGAAAAACCAAAAACAAAAAGGGCCTAAAAAACAGCCTGTATTCTCTCTCTACTTTTCTTTCATTTTCTTCTTTTCTCTCTCATCCTTGTCTGTTTAAGCTGTTCGAGCAGGAACACTCATGGCTACTGTTGAGACAGCCATTTTATCAGCCTCACTTTTCTGCATTTCAATGTCATTTGCTTCAAAATCTTCAATGACCATTGCAGTTTGATTGTTTCTTGTACTTCCCTTTACTGGTTCGGGAATTTCCTCGGTTTCTTTCTCCTTGTATTCCTTGTATTTGCCCCACAAGACTGAGTAAAGTCCAGCCACAATCAACACTGCTCCAAGAACACTGAAACCGGGAAAAAAGAAGAGATTTTTAGTCTGTAGGTAAACAATAACAACGATAAACTAAGCCTTTTTTTAATAAATTATATTGCTTCAATCTTTTCGAGTATATAAGGATGAGAAAATTACCCTCCAACATATATCTTTTCAGCCAGGATGAAAGAGCCCATGATGGCTACAATGATCATCATCAATGGACTGAAAGCAGTGACAAAGACAGGCCCTCTTTTCTGCATCACAAGGCCTTGTACATAGTATGCAATACTTGACGATACAATACCCTGCACAAGCACAGAAGAATAACCTTAAACATTAACATTAATCAACTAGAATTAGTCCATTTAAGTGTGTATAATTTAGGGTCGATTACAGAAAACCTAAAACAACTTGATCTAACGTGTTGGGAGAGGGAGAGAATCGAACTTACGGCATAGGCAGCAGCGAGGAGGTTCATGTCCCAGCCAATAGTCCATGCTGAGGATTTGTGTTCCATCACAAAAGTGACAGCTATAGACTGTAAGGTCCCAAGGAAGCACACTATGGCTGTGAGGGAGAGTTGTGCTGTGTATTTTCTTAATGTGATTGCCTGTGACAATATGCAAATATTTTTCAATTTATTTTAGCATAGATAAAAAAAGGGTATCAGAAAAAGCCAAAAAAAGGTACAAAATATACCTGAAGGATGAAGAAAGAAGCCCACGCAAGTGTGGCAATTATAAGTAAAATTGACCCTTTAAACCAGTCCTTATCAGATGGTTCAGTAGTGGTATCAGGAACGTTGGATTTATGAGGATGAACGTAGTTGGACCACACCATATTAAGGACATGACCTTTGTACAATGTCATCAACATGGCTCCAGCTACTGTCACTATAGTTCCCACAACCTTTGCTTGGCATCTAACCTTCTTAATGTCCACCTTCTCCATCCTACAGAGCACAACACAGTTAATCGGTGAAAACCTTTTCAGGCTCGTCTAGTAAGGTGGACTGTACTGTACTGTACTGGACTAGACAATATTAAGAATGAAAAACAAGTCGAGTATACAAAAATATGAATGTACAGAGATATTTACCTGCATAGGACTGCCATAACAAATGTCATAGCTGGGAGCATGTTACTCATGGCACATGAGAAAGTAGGGGAAGTAAATTTTAGCCCAGCATAGTAAAAGTTTTGATCAATCACTGGTCTGTAAAACAAAATTGTAAAAGATGAGAAGATTAGCATTTTAGTTCTCAAACAATTTAAATGTAAAAATGTATTGGTTTTTGCCGTGGTATATATATAAGAACACTCACCCAAGAAGTCCCAGCGCAAAAAGCTGCATGAAAATTGGAAATGTAATCTTTGGCCTCACTTTCCTGTGAAGAAAAACATATCCCAAGAATTAGCATTTAAAAAAATCTTGAAGAAAACAAGAACACCATGTCTCGTAGACGAGTATTGAGTATCAAACAGGCCGTAAAATTTTCCATGTGCACCTTTCGAGGATGAGAGCGAAGGGAGCAATAACAGCAGTGGCGAAGGCATGCCTATAGACAACAAGCACATAGTGGCTCATTCCTCTATTGAGTGATACTTTGGTAATGATGTTCATACCAGCATAGCCAAATTGTAATGAAATCATGGCTATGTAAGGCTTAGCCTTTTCAAGAAAATTTCCAAGGCATCCTTTTCCTTCCATTTTTCTCACCTGTATTTAATTTAACAGCTAGTTTTGAGAATGCTAATGCTGAATAGTTTTATAGAAAGAGAGAGGGGCAGAGGAAAACACTTCAAAGACTTTGTGTTTGTCCTAGGGAATGGATGGGAAGCAATTAGTGTATTTATAAGCACCAAGGGGGACTGTATCAAATAGTTAGTTTAGTATAATTAAAATCGCATATTTGGTCCCTAACTTATTTTCTTGATAGCAAAATAGTTCTCTATCTTTAAATGGGGAAGTTAGTCTATTTTCTTTCTAACTGCAATATCAATCTTAAATGATGCCAACTATCAAAATCGTAGTCAAGTCGATTCTCGCACGTGTGACTATTGCACTAAGTTCCTGTTTCATACATATTATTCAAAAATCATTTTTTCACAAACTTATTTTTATCATGGATTCTCACAGTAAAATAATTTTACAGTTGAATTTATAAATTTTGCACACTTTTTAGTCGCACATTTATTAAAAAAGCACTTGTCACGGAGTAGAATAAACATCAAACATGCTATTTCTACATCTAATACTGAATATTTTGATCATAAACGGGTGATATGATGTCCACGTATCAGCAATTAGGGGAATATGATTATGTTAGATGGGTTCCACTTAGGTATTTTCTTTCGATTATGTTATAAGTACAGAAAATTTTGACAGACAATACTATAGTTGGAATTGATTGGAAGATGAAGAGAGAAAAAAAAATCCAATCATCTGCTATCACATCAGCATTGATATGAGTTTTGTCAAAAAATCCCGATACTCGTGGCTTTTTCCATTTTCTTTCATAGTGGCCAAGTGATTTCAAGCTACCAAAAACACAAAAGGAGAATTTAGTGCTATGCTGATGCCATTTAATGGGACCCACAATAAGGTGGTAGTGGGTTGCAGTGAAACTGTCGGACCCACTTACACGTCAGCCCCGTCCCGGCATTCCGTTGCATTTGTCTGCCGGTGCCGGAGCAGTGGTGTCGGCGCAAATATAGGGAGAAAAACATTGTCGTGCAAATTTGATTATTTCTGTGTTCATCGACTAGTTAAGTGCATTATGAGTTTCAAGAAAAAAAAAATTGCAAGTGCATATAGAACCTTTATATTCTGTATAATACAGATCAATACACTGAGTGGGTGAGAAATGAGATCTTCATTGTAAATTTCGATTCTAGTAAAAACTTGTCGACCGCGAGTGGACGTAACACTCAAATTAAAGGATATTTAACACCGAATTCAAATTGACCAGTGCCCACTAGACTCTACTAATGCACTGAATGAAGACATGTTCAAACTTTGTCGAATTTTACCTTTTTCCCGGGCCGTTTTGTTGGTTTAGCCAACTTTTATTTTATTCGGGAGAGATTATTTGAAGTGAAAAATGATTTTTTTAGAATGTATAATTAAAAAATAAGAAAAAGATATAAGTCCACGTACAAAATTATTTTATTAAAAGAATACGTAATTAAAATGATTTTCAAATAAATTGCGCCAAACAAATGCTTCAGTTGCCCTTTCTCTTATTCTTTATGGGGGTAGGTTTAGGTTATATTTGCATGTAGCATTACATATATTAAATGTTTATTTTAATGGCACAATGTCCACTTCAAAAAGTTGGAATTTTGCATTTTTCTTTTATGAAAGATGATAACTATGTGCTAATTTTACTGTAGATTTATATATATTTTACCACATATTCAACATATACGTGGCACATATCGTGACACCATATTCACGTGTCTTTGAAATGAGACGATACCCTGTATGATGGCTCGTTATTTTTCAGCAGAGCCAACAACACACAGATGAATTAACAAAATTGCATATTAATCATGATATCGTACAAAAAACAAGTGCTCGAAATCCACGTTTTTGCCAAACTCGATACCCTATCTAGAATTTCCAATTCTAGCTAGAATTATAATTGGTAGTAAGTTGCATTTACTATTGATTCCAAAATAAATTTCGAAAGTGGGAACAACGTTGATAGGGAGAATCAAATTCTTTGGCATCATGTTAGGACTTCCAGCTTTCAAACATATACCTAATGTGAAGAATGAACAATCTAATCGAGTTTGAAACTCAGATTCTTATATGCACTCTTTATTCTTTAACCGTACTAATAATTTTGAGTCGATCTTCCAATTTTACAGTTAGCTCTAAAATATCATTGAGAGAAGTATTATATCTACGAAAAAAATAAGTGAATAGCTAAGAACGTGAAGTGTCGAAAAGTTAATACTTGTTCTGCATCAGTCGACCTCTCAAGTCGAAAGTCTGACCAAAGGTGATTAGTACATCATGAATAACAATCCTCCTAGGTGACCTTTTGAAATATATTTCTTTAGCCCAATTTTGTCTTTTTCTCGATCAAACTATGAGCGAATCGAAAAATTGACTAGGAAGCCTTATATGAGTTCTTATCATTCCTCCTTTCGTGGATAAAGAAGGTAGGCTAAGTGGAGCATGCACCAGGGAATGGGCATCTAATCAGCCCCAATCATCTCGACATCGAGTCATGTCATGCAGCGTAAGACCAACAAATGTTTTTGGCTGATTTCTGTCACTGCAAGTTGATGAAAACTCTAGCAATTATGGGGGAAGATGATGTTGAACGGGAACATGATGAGAAATGTGTGGAGTGGGAGTTTGTCATCCTAGAAATGGAGTAATCACCTTATAACACTGAACGGTAGGGGAAAAAAAAAATCAAGTGACACAATTCTTCACTTGTCAATCTCTAATTTTATTCAATCGTGACATGTTTAGCATACCCATTTCTCGCGGAAAATATAAATTTGATAGCTGTCAAACTCGCAATCACAATCGCTTAGCTTATATGTTTGGCTCATATTTATAAACTATTTATAAATAATCAGACAGTATTTTATCCGCACATTTGGATAGATTCACAAATACAATCAGTTGATTGAGGATGCAATTTTTAACTTTTTTTGTACACATCGCACAAACAAATTGCTTCTTCACGACCACAAAAGCATTCACATTTGTTGTCCATACAAAAAAAAAAATTAAAAAAAATCGTCGGCACCAGCTTTATTAAAGAAAAGTTTTATATATTTTTTCAGTAATTCTAGTTCGTTGATTTCAGAAAAAACAAGAAAAAGCATAACCAACAAGTTGAAGTGATTGTCCTTTTTCTATTTCTTTGAAGGACAAAACCTTTTCAATTTACTAATATTAAGAATAAAAAGACAAACAACCATTATTGAACTAAAACCTATAAAAAATAGGTTCAACCTTTCACTAATTTGTTTGTTTCCAAAAAAAAAAAAAAAAAATTATATAGGCCACTCAACGCATCAATTTGTTCTTCGACCAAACTCTTAAAAGGAAATCAACTATACACAAAATCAAGTGTCAAATCATTTTATAGATTTATTTGGTCAAAAAATCGTCAATATAAAGATTTCCTTGTTTCTCTCATTTTCTATCTGTTAGTATTTATTCGAACTTTTCTCGTGCTTGTAGATTAAGTCTTGTTCGGTGAGATCTTGTATAAGCTATACATCCTCCTAGAAGCCCCCAGGGCACATCTCCAAGTGGTAAAAGAGGAAATTGGAAAAACTCCAGTTTTGTTTGAGATTGCCGCGTCAAGGGTTCGAATTTTGAAATATGAATTTGGTCTTTGGATAAGTGCAAGTGTACAAACAGTCTTCCACCATATACCCTTGGAGGCATAACCTACGATTTAACTCATTCACTAAGGCTCAGGGTAGGACATGACATGGCAGGTGGGGGCCGTCAAGGATGCGGCTGATCCTTTATACATCCTCCTAGAAACTACGCGAATTCTATAGGCTCTGGCTTATGTAGATCACTAAGGCATAATTGTCAAAATCACTTTTTATTTTATATTTAGATATGGCCTTAGGTCCAATCAAATCCATGAAATTGTAAGTCTCCAATCAAAACATGTTCAATCATACTACCATTAAGCAATCCCTTCCCGCTTTTTTGTTATGATTTTCCACTAATCACGTACTAGAACGTTAAGAAACTTAAATTCTTTTAAGTGCAATCACTTTCTTAAAAAGCTGAATTAAGAATTGGAAAGAGGGCTCTGTCATGATCTTCCTTTGTAATTAATTAATTGCGCAAAAACATTAATTATAATCAGTTCCAAAAAGAGTACTAAAAACAAGTTGAAGAAGTGAGAGAATTAATATATTGTACTTTAGAAAATAATTGAATAAGGCTTCTTCTCATTTGGTGTCTCATCGATCTTAGCCTTCTTCTCATTTGATTGATCTTCTTGTTAGACTTCTTCACTTTTTACCCTCCTTGCCACCCGAAGGTTTGGGATGAAGGGGACCAGTTGTTACAGTTCACTCTTGGCCTTGAGAAAAGTCTTTACACTGTGGAACTCCTTCATTAGTTCTGTCATGTATAGGTTATAGTCAACCTTAAACTATGATAACATATCAAGGAGTGTCTCAAAAATCATGTCAATCTGAGTCTCGAAGTTAATGTTAGCTCCTAAAACCTCCACTACATTATTAAGCGACCAATCATGGTTAGCACTTAGCATATGATCTCTCAAAGATGTCTGGTTTCATGCGCAAGTTCATAACGATTTTAATGGAAGCTTTCCTAGCATATTGACTCAGATTCCAAACATCTCATGAAGACTCTCCATAATGTCAAAAATAGTTTACACGTTTTAATATTTGTGTTGCAACACATTCGACATAGATGTCAACATTTAGTAACAAACAGGCCCGGCCCTGAAATTCTGGATGCCTTGTGCGACATTTTAAAATAGTGCCCCTTTCATGAAATTTAAAAAAAATATTTCAATAATATTATATCATCACAAAATTATGATATTTAAATACTAGTTCTTTTTTGGAATGTCGTGAATAAGAAAAATACAAATAAAGTCCAAAAGCACATTCCAAACTTCATCAAAATTCATGTCATCAACAAAAAATCATCCAAGCCCCTAAACTTTTCGTGCAATTCCA